TTGCTGCACACGGGGTGGTGGTGGTGGGGTGTTAATGGGTGCAATTAAATATTAATGTCGTGCCAATAAAAATTAAATTTTCAGACGCTTGAGAAGCTGTAAATAGGAAATATTGCTGCGGGATTTTTTTTTTTTTGAGGCCAAAAAAAAAAATATGCGGAAGAGGGGTAAAGAAATACAGCCCAAAAGTTAGCATCGTCCTCTCGGTGACTTGCTAATCACATCTTTGCACTGACCACTACGCCTCTGAACATGTCACTTGGTGGAGCAAGCGCTGCTCACCTCACGGAGCTCCGTGCATCCTATTGTGTTTAAAACTAGCCTTTATCTGCACCCCTTCTTCTATGTAAAAGGTTATTGCACTTTTACGGGGCGGGGGGGGGATAATCTGTCCTGCCTTCCTACCTGGACAGCAGCTGCTAACATCTGACCTCCAGCTACTAAAGGGCTACGCCATAGCCTGGCACTGTGTGTGCCACTCAAGCCCCAGTGTGGTAGCCAACTAAAACAAAATATTTTATATTAGTTCATATATAACTCTTAATAGGCAGGAGTATGTGTATTTAATAGCCTGTCTCTGCGCTTTGGACATGATGTAAATATATATCAATGCGAAACTTAAATCCAGCGACCAGTTTCACTTGGCTCAAGTCTGCAACCCAAGTGTCAAGGAAGAATAATTTAAGTCTCTCTGTTGGGGATGGTAGGAGGTGTTGGGGGAAAGAAAGGAAGGTGTTACTGATGGGACATCACTTCAGGGTATGGTGGTGTGTGTGTATAAACATATGCACACCGTATATGTATACAAACATACGTATGCACATTCACCCATATATGTATTCATGTGTTATTTTTTTTCCCTTTTTCCCTCTTCCCTACAGAGTCAAGATGGCTAAAGGTGATCCGAAGAAGCCCAAGGGCAAAATGTCTGCCTATGCCTTCTTTGTGCAGACGTGCCGTGAGGAACATAAGAAAAAGAACCCAGAGGTTCCAGTCAACTTTGCAGAGTTTTCCAAGAAGTGCTCGGAGAGGTGGAAGGTACCTTACTTTGTGACTTCCCGAAGGGATAACTTCTTACGGTACCTGCTAGGATGATGTGCGTGTGTCTGAACATGAAGGGAGCCAGTGCTGTTTTGGTCTGCGTCCCGTTCTTGGCAAGGCGTCCCGGTCACTGATAGGGTGCTGCTGACTCCTGTAGTGATCGCGAAGGCTTCAGCCTGGTGTATCTGCCCGTGTAGGTGCTTCCACTATAGCCTGGCCTTTTTTGCCTGTTCCCAAGCAGCGCCCTTCAGCAGCCGCCTCCCTCCAGGCCTGTGTCCTCGAGGAGGACTTGCTGTGCTTGTCCTGTTCCTGGTGCTTCCCTCTTGCTGACTGTGCCAGCTGTGACTGCAGTCCCCGGTACAGGACCTTCGTCCCCACGGTGGTCCTGTTAGAAAACAAACAAATTCTGAAACTCCTCTATCGAGTCAGTATTTGTTGGCTTGTTTACTTAAGTTTGCCAGCTATTGAACAGTTGGGTAATCACTGGTTCGGTGTCTTGTTTTCTGGTTTTTTAGACCATGTCAAGCAAGGAGAAGGCTAAGTTTGATGAAATGGCAAAGGCTGACAAGGTACGATATGATAGAGAAATGAAGGACTATGGACCAGCTAAGGGTGGCAAGAAGAAGAAGGACCCCAATGCCCCAAAACGACCACCGTAAGTAACTTTGAGGCATAAATGCACAAATGTTTTGGTTTGGTTTTGTGCTCTGTAACGCAGCTAAGTTTCCGTGAAGGAAGTAGATGGGGCATGCTGTTGGTGTGGCAGCATTGGTAGTACTCATGGTTTACTGATACTGTCTTGGAAACCTTCTAGGCAGGTTGTAAGCTTGAGCGCTAACAGGAATTGTCAGTACTTGGTACCCTTAAACTTATGGTGGCGGAAGACGTGGAAATGACTGGGTCACAGTGAGACTTGTGTATCTGAGATGAAATTGGGTGGTGGAGGGAGACAACATTTAATTAAGAACAGCATTGGGTGAAGGCTGCAGGTCTGGGCCTCAGTAAAATCAAGACATGTTTGGGTTTGTCTTTTGTTGTTTGTTTTTTTAAGTAAAAAAAAGTGTTCCTACTCAGCATGTGAGTGTGTGTGGATGTTGTGGGTGAGGAATGGGCTGTTCCCCAGGCATGTTGCTGTGGTGCTGACTGTCCTCTGGTGCTTCTCCCCAAGGTCTGGCTTCTTCCTCTTCTGTTCAGAGTTCCGCCCCAAGATCAAATCCACAAACCCTGGCATATCCATCGGGGATGTAGCAAAGAAACTGGGTGAAATGTGGAACAACCTCAGTGATGGTGAAAAGCAGCCTTATAATAATAAGGCAGCTAAACTGAAGGAGAAGTACGAGAAGGTAAGGCTGGTTTTCACTTGTGCCTCTTCCGTACCGGCTCTTACGTTGATGTGTCTCTGTAACATAGACCCAGCTAAGGTGGCCCTAGAGCGGTGAGCATCTCTAGCTTACAGACCTGGTCTCTTTGCACTGTGTGCTACGTAGCTGAACTCTGCGTATGTTGGGACAGAGTAGGTTAAAGAGCGGCAGGTGGATTCCAGCGAGGAGGGAGAGCTTTCCCCCAGTGATGCGCAGCAGCGGCTGCTCGTGTTGCCCCAGCAAAGGGTTTGCTGTGCTGTTCAAGGAGCTTTGTCCCGTTAGCAGGAAGCTTCTAAGAGAGGCTGGGTTTTCTTCTCCTCCTCAAGGAAATAACCATGAGTGCAGGGTTCAAGACCTCCGTCGTCCGGAGGCAGTTGAGGATGTGTAGGTGTCTGCGTACCTGTGTGCTATAAAGCTGGCTGTCCCCCCTTTTGGGGGTGCAGCCGTGGAAGGCCAGTCCCTTTACGTTAACGCCCGCTGCTGTACAAATGCTGTATGTGTTTGCTGCGTAGAGCAAATTAAGACATCCCCTTGACTTTGCAGGATGTTGCAGACTACAAGTCTAAAGGAAAGTTTGATGGCGCAAAGGGAGCAGCAACCAAAGCTGCTCGGAAAAAGGTAGAGGAAGAAGACGAAGAGGAGGAGGAGGATGAAGAAGAGGAGGATGAAGATGATGATGATGAATAAAACTGTACAATACTTGTCTCCATGTGAATACCATAGAGTAGGGGAAACACCATAAACGAAGCACCTCTTATTTGAGATGGTGTCTCTTGCCCTTATTAGGCTTAATTAAAAAAAAAAAAAATTGGATTCCGATCGCGTTGTAGTTTCTAAAAGTGCTCTAGAAATTGTAACTGGTTTACATGAAGTGGCCATGGGTGTAGTGAGCACCCTGAAACTGTATCAAAGTTGTACATATTTCCAAACATTTTTAAAATGAAAAGGCGCTCTAGTGTTCTCCTAACTCTGTGCACTTTGCTGTTGGTGTAACAAAGCATTTAAAAATGTTTCAAGCATTTTTTTAATTTGTAAGGTGGTGTTACTATATGGTTATTGGCTAGAAAATCCTGGGTTATAAACTGTACATATCTATAGTTTGTAAAAACTAGACAGATTCTTGTGGTACATGCTTAGAGTTATGATGCCTTAGAGGAGCAGTGATTACTTGGAAAGGCTGTACGTTCCCCGGGGTGCCATGGCCCAAAGCATGCACTGTGAGGGTAGATCTATTTACACTACAGTGGGCGTCCATTTAGCTTAAAGTTGTCTTTCTGTATATAGTGAAATAGCATTCTGCTGCCATTCTTAGTTGTGGAAGGGGGTTCAGCTGGCATGAGAAGTGTATGGATTTTTTTAGTTAAGTGCGGTAGTTTTTAAACTGAAACTGTAGACATCTCTTCATCGTCAACTAAGTGAAGAGCCAGTGCAGCAACTGAAGTTCAAAAACACTCTGTACTTAAACGAATTTGCAACGTTCTGTTTTTTTTGTATGTTTAGAATGCTGAAATGTTTTTGAAGCAAAATAAACAGTATTACATTTTTAAAACTGTTCTTGACAACACTCTAAATTTCTGGTTTAAAAGGATCTTAACAACAGCAAGAGGTTCATTTTGAAGTCTGTGGCATCCCTCAGGGCTGGTGACTTAGGAAACATTCTGACTCAAGGATTAAAAATAAAAAAATAAAAAAATAAATGGTGGCCTCAGTTAACTGGCTGAATTGAAAGAGATGGCTGCTTCAGCTAATATGCAATCGTAACTGTTTATGGCTGAGTGGCATAAGATGCTATGCAAGTTTGAACTTTATTACTTGAACTTGGGAGCCTAAATGAACATTCATGACGTAATTGTTTGTTTGTGTGTGTATATAGCAGCATTCAGAGATGCAGAGAAAGGTAGGTGGCTAGGAATGAGGCTGACACCATGGAATAAGTATAAAAGCATAGTTTGGATTTTTTTTTTTCAGTTGTGTTGGGTAAATTTATAGCCCAAATGCATTGCTGTACATATTAAAATGTGCCTTTTTTGTCCTGTGTTAAACTGTTTCAGACTTGTGGTTTTTTCTAGCATCTTGATTCGTGGCAGGAGCCAGGCGCCTAGTCTAACTCCCTGCTGAAGTAGGAGCGTGGCGCAGGTACTTAGTCCGTGTCCTTCCTCTAATGATGCAAGTTTTAATAGGAATTGGGTGCGGTGAGGTGGGTTGGGGGAGCGATGCAGGTCTCTTTTTTTTCCCCTTCGACCAGCTGGCCCCGTCACTGTCTTGCCGTCTTTCCAAATCCAAGCTGTGGGGGTGTTTTGCAGCCCTCGGAAGGGAAAGGCAATACCTGATCTCTAGCTGGCGACTCTAACCTCGTTTTTCCTTAGCATGGAAACTGCACAGACTGGGAAAACTATGGCACCCCCTCGCTACCCTTGCATTCCTTCCTTGTGCTGGCAGCAGTTAGCAGCCGGCGTTCGCTTGGCAGCCAGGAGGAGATGGGGGGTGAGGATACTTGCATTAATAGCAGGTCAAAGTTGCGGGCCGCTGCGTGCAACGGGCTTAAGAGGACAGGGTAATCGTTAGTGTCAACTGTGGGTACGGGCTGCTGCCACCCCTTCCTTTGAGCCAAACTGCAGATTAATGAGGGGCCAGGCTTATGGGGAGTAACTGCTTCTAATGTGGATAAAACTGCTTTGTTGCCTAATTGGTTAGCACATCTGGCTTCCCGTGACTTCTCAACACCCATGGTACCTTGGCAAAACAGTCTGATTTAGTGTTGGGACGGACTAGGACCTAAAAGCAAAACTGAGCAACACTTGGTTTCGGATGAAACAAGCTAATAAACTTTTATGAAAGGTAACAACTTTTTTTAAGGCTAAGTTACAGTTGGATCACTTAGAAATAATTCTATAATTGCTTAATTGTGGCAATTCTTAGTGTCTTTAATGCACAAAAACCAGTATGAAATTTGCCCCCATTTTATGGGAAGTGGCATTTTAAAAGCCTTGATAAAGCTGCATCTGGAAAAGAAATAGGTACCTCTGTATTTGCTACCCTTTCTGCACATCTTCTGGTGCAAAGGAGAAGACAACTGGAGATTCCAGCACGTGGAAATTTGATGGGGAAGTGGTGGAGCACAAGAGAAAAGCAGTGGCATCGTTTCAGGAGCTGTAATACTGTTTCTATTGTCTAGTTGGCAAAATCTCCCCTTAGCCACATATGGGAATTAGTGTAGATCACTGCTGTGTAAATCGAGCTTGGCTTTGAATTAACTGCTAGTGAGCTGAGCCCCTATTGATAGTATTAGCAAATAAGAACTAGACCTGACACCTCTTTGTCTTCGTTATATTGGAAATCTATCGAGTTGCAGGGCTTGATTAAGGTCTTGGACCTTACGGTGCACTACCTATTCCTGCTCTGCAAATTTCTAAAATATGGCATGCCTCGGGGATGCTGTTCAATACAATGCTAGTGCGGGGCTCCGGGGACTCAAATTTGGCTATTACAGATGCGGTGATGATGTTTCTTTCCCCCAATACTCTGCCATGGATAAATACCATAGTGTGAATGTATATAAATAACATGATTTCCCCACTGCTGCTACTGGTTTTTGTGTTTGGAGATGTCATCTCAGGCATTGGTTTCACCCAGCTTTTTTGATAGAACATCCTCCAAGTGCTCTTTCTCTCTGCTTTGAAATGCTTGTGGTGTTTCAGAGCAGACATTTCTGCTTTGGGCTGCTGTACAGCTAAAACTTCTAGTTTGACTTTAGTCCCAAGCCAAGCAGACTAAAGATGTCTCTTATTAAGCCCGTTAATATGTAGAGAAGGGTAATGATAAATTTGGGGAGAGGGAGGGATGAACAGAGAGGCTTGTCCCTGCACGAATTTGACAGAGCTGACTGCGAGACTGCTTGTGTTCCCAAAATACAATTTGTTGCACCCCCCTGTGCAAGCTGAAGGCGGGCTCTGAGGACCAGGGGCTCGGTTAAGAAGGGACGGTGCTGCTGCTGCAGCTCTCAAAGCTGCTCTGGGGAGGCAGGAGGTGGCTCGACTGGGTGGGGTGGTCCCTCCAGATGCCTAAAACAGTGACGGAGGTGGGAAGAGCTTTTGCTCAAGGGAAAATATCTGCTGGTGCTGCTGTGGGGCAGAGATGGGCAGAGGCAGGGGGGATGCTGCCCCACATCCTGCAGGTCATTTCCCATGCTTGGTACCATTTGATTTGCACTCGGGACTATACGGAGCCTTGAGAACACGGTCGCTACCAAAATACACTGCATCCCTCTGAAATCTGAACCAGCTGGGGGGCGATGGGATGAACGGGGCTGCCGAGCTGCTCTGTGCAGGCCAGAGCCTGCCTCTGCCGAAATGAGCCTGGCAGCCTATTAGCACGACCGAGGAGGCAGAGGAGTGATGATCTCCTGCTGCTCTGTAGCCTATACATTTCTAAATTCAGTTGAAACGTGATAAATATTTGGTGTGAGCTGAACATGAGCCCTTAGACTAGGGGGGGGGCTCCAGGGGAGGGACTGCATCGGGGAAGCCCCATCGCAGGTGCAGGGTTAGTCACAAGGAAAACTGTGCTGCAGGATGGTTTCCTACCGCTCCTGTCGGTATCCTAATGCATCTGTGGGGAAGCAGTGCATTAATTTTTCTGTAATAAAATTAATTAAAAATCCTAGTCCAAATACATATTGAATCAATTAGCAGTGAACGGTGCAGCTCTAACAGAGGTCCATAGGAAGGTGAGAGTCTGCTTTAGGGATCATACTGGGGATGCAGGCAGAGTTGAAATACCTCTCTTATCTGCTCCCTTTGACCGGCTGATTTTTATATAGTTTTATTCACTCCTAATAAACTCTGCAGGAACAGCAGCGAGGTGCGAGGGCTTTTGTTGGCTCTGGCTCAGGCGGTGGCAGGTGAATGGCTTTTCGCTTCCAGCCTCCAGCACAATTCTGGCAGCTGCCTCGAGTTTATGTTTTCCCTCTGCTCAGGCTGCTCCATGGGCAGAGAAACATCCCCCAAGTCAGTCCTTTTCTGCTGAGGGTTTTGGGAAGCAGGGCTTGGACCAGGAGAAGCATCTGGGATGGGACCTCCCCGCTGGCTGTGCTGGGGTGAGAGCAGGACGCTGCATTTACGGCCACGCTGCGTTCGCTTTCTGACAAGCCTGGGCTCACTCTCCTCTAAGAGAGAACGGGAGGAATGGTGACAAGTGACATATTTATTTTTTTTCTGCTAGGGCTGCACCAGATTTTAATGCAATAAACTGAATTGCAAATTGCAGCTGCGCTGCAAAACAAAGTGTGCTGGAGACCTGTTACCAATCAGTTGCTCTCTAAACATGTTTCAGCTTGTGGTGGAGAAGGGACCGAATAACCAGCATGCCTGATGGGGGGTTTCGTGCCCTACGAGGTGTCTTCATCCCTTTTTGGCAGGCTGGGCTCCGGTGGGAGCACGGTGTGCACCTGCCCCTGCTCGGGCAACATTTGGCAACGCGTGTTCAAAGCGCTCTGCAAACATCTCATCTTTCTGGTAGGTCTGGTACGTACATGTTAAAGCAGGATGTGGATGAGGGGTGGCTCCTTCTGTGTGCTAATGATCTTGATTGGAGTTGTCCGCTGCTAAGAGCTCTTCCCTGAGTGCCCTCCTGCACCTGGATCCCTAAATTAGGCAGGAGGAAGCAGCCACAGCCTTGCTGGGGCTGACGGCTATGTCTCCTGGGTGGTGAGTACCTCCTTCCCTTGTTCCTGGACGTGGCATGGCCTCGCAGAAATGCCTGTGAAGTAGTTAAACCAGGGTTAATCCTTCTGTTAAGCTGGAGCAGAGATGGCAAGTGACGTCCCCAGGGCTGGGGAGGCTGGGTGTTGTGTGGAGCAGCAATCTGGTGCTGTGGTGGGGTTAAGACCTTTGCAGGCTGGGATAGATAAAAACAAATCTTTGTCTGGTTGATGTTGGGAGATGAAAATGCATTAACTGTGGTAAGGGGATGCCTGTCCTGTAACTGTGTCCCATGCCATGGTTGATGTCACGCCTTGGCTGAATCCAGCAGTTGGGAAAACCGCAGCTGGGAACCAAGCCTTGCTGTGGGACTGGGCATTTTGATGGTGTTTGTGGTTGACTTTCGAGCCCCTGAAGTGCAGAGTACTGCTGCTCTGCCCCTGTACCTGCCACCTCGTCTTGCTTCTGGCTGGGCGCTCCCTGACGAGATACCCAAGGAGCATTCCCTGTGCACGCTGCTGTAGCCAAGCCTGTGCAAGGAGAGTGGCAGGTAGGATGCTATGAGTGATCGAGTTGCTTTTTCTTCCCAGCCCCTCCCCTTGTGAAGCTCCCTCGGGTATTTCAAGTCAGAAAAAAATGCTCTTTTTAAAAATATTGATCAAACACGGCCTGGCTTTGTTGTTGTACGAGCTTATTACTTGTAAGTGTTTTTAACTGCTTCTTTGTGAAGCTTAAGATTTGCTTTATGTTAGTTTAGAAAATTAATACGTTTAGAAGGGTGAAGTGGTTGGAGGGATTGCTTGAGACAAATGCCTCTTGCTTGCTGCTAATTACTGTGTGATTGTTCTTTTACTATGTGTTACCTGGGATGTACCAGCAATAATTCATGGTCGTGCAAAAGAAGCTCGAGAAAGGTAGAAGCAGGGGCAATTTGGTCTCATTTCCTAAAAAATATGTTGGTCAAGTTTTGTTCTCTTTAGCTTTAGAGCTCAGGCTGGGGATCTTCCCTGGGCTTGGCTTCTGCAGTTGTTTAAGGTATTGCTACCTGCAGCTCCTGGTGAAGGTCACTCCCCTGTAGCAGAGAGAGCAAAAGGAAACGTGCACTGGGTCTTCTGTTGCTTTATTTCATTGCTTCGTCTAGTAACAATTTTTGCAAGCTGCTGGGAGGTTTTTCAAACCAAGCTTAAAGATCAAGGTGTCAGTAAAAGTCTTAAAGAGAGCCCTTTCTCCCAAGGGCTTGTCTGAACGCGGAATAAAACTTGACCAAACCGTGTTAAACTGTCTAATTAAAGATCTCTCCTCACTGTTGCTCGTGTTTCATTCGTTGGTGATTCCCCAACTGG